GGCTTTAACCTATATCCTTGATGGGATGGAGGGACCCCCCCCCTCCCCCACCTAGTGTGTACCTTTTCCAAGCTTCGTCGCCTCCTGAGGCTTCGACGCCCTCCCTCCACCTAGGTTTCACCGGGATGGAGGAGAAAGGTGGTTGAAACAGATTTGAGCTACTCCGCCGCCATTGGGCTTCCATCTCTAGGATCTTTTCATGCGTCGTCGACGAGCGGGAGAAGCAAGCTTCACACAGATCCAACGACTAGCATAATTTTAACTAGTGGTGTCTTTTATTTCCTATAATACGAATGTGGTTATAGGTTGTACATTGCAATTGCATGTGGGTCATATATATACTAGGTGGGTTTCCAACACCCCGGATGCTCCTCTTCTGTCGGTGGCCCATTAACAACATGGGTGGGACCCCTTCTGTCGGTGGCCCATTATCCACAAGGAAAAATGGGAGGAACGGGATCACATGAGCACCTAACTCATTATATGATTGGTTACTAATGATATATATAAATTACATGGAGATAATATGTAAAAAAAACTGGCTATATTGTTAACCACACTCTTTTCATATACCGTTAATGATAAGGATCATCACCACCAAAGTTGCAACACAAGGTCCAAATTAAACACATAATTACCATTTTGATTGATAAACCGAGTATATTGATTTCACCAATGCATCACATTGAGGGTAATGTACACAAACAAGAATAAATTCTAGAGACTAAAATCTGCAAGGCATTAGGTCTTTTAAGTTTCTTTACACAAACAATATTGCTAGACTAATCACTCTACACAGTCTTGACACACTAGAATATGCACTATCAAAATCTCCTTCCAACATCATAAGCATAATATGTCAACAAAAAAAAGAGTTAAGATAGGATACAATTGGACCGAACTTTCCAAATTATTTAATATCATTACATCCAATGATTATCGACATATGCTATACCATATCCTAATCAATCTTATATCTGTAGCCTATTTATTGTACTTATTACCTAAGTTATTTCCTAACTTGTTTTGCTTACTTGACGACTTACTATTTTGTGCTTACATAACTTGTCATTAATGTGATGCATCTTAAAAAAAATTGTTTCCAAGTTTTAGCTCTCAAGCCACGCGCATTAGCGATCATCATTTTTAACCATATTCATGTAACAATACAAAAACAGAGTTAAGGATGGGCTAGTTTTGATATACGCCAACAAAATTCTCAATGCAAATTCATGATTCTAAATTCATAGTCCCGTAGTCTATTCTTTCATGATACTCCCTCCCTTTCATCATTGATCATGTCTTATCTTTTTACTTCTTCTCCACATTACGGTGTGTATATCTGGGAATCGAGACAAGGCAAGGCAAGGCATGCATTTATGATAGATGCACTACTAATAGAAAAATGGAGGAAGCACTTCTTTGCAATTCTAGTATCCTTGTCTTCGCTCTTGGGAAGTGCATCCTTTCTAACTTTTTAAATGATGTTACTGTAAATTTAAGTTGAAATTCAAAGATAATCCATACTGTGCAAGCTTAAGATTTTTTTCCTTTTGCATTATGCATGTTACTATTATTTATTAAAATGTGTGTACATATACATGTTTATACATTGTTTCGTCTAAGTCAACAATTTCAACACAAGAGGGGAAGTTAAAATGGTAAGAATGTTTACAGTTAAATGTCAAGAGAACAATTTTTATTTTTTATAATGTTTATGTTATTCTACTCAAACGTAATTTGCATATGCAAGGTTACTAGCATATACAGGAAAATGTACTAGCTAGCTGCTACCTGAAAACTTGTCATAAAACTGCCAAATCCCTTGAATTAACTCGACTTCTCCCTTTCCCGCCAAAAAAAAACTCGACTCTTCCAGAATTATCTTTTCTAAAGTTTGCTAATTAGATATCATTTAAACCAGAAGCTTGATCTAGGTGATTGAAGTGAATATATCCGCTGTATGACTTCTAGTCTGAGATATGAACAATGTAATCATGTTATAGCAAATATGTGCACGTATACTGAGAAGGGTTGATTAGATGCAAATATATAATCTTACTCGCTTATTACGTTATTGTTTCTACAATTTTCAAGAATGAAGCATATAAGTAGCTCCAGCTACATAATTAAACAGTATAAACCATTATCTGAAAGTCTTAACATTATTACTCATCATGTAAACTATACTCAGAAGGAGTATATCTCACTTGTCCTCAAAACCTAGAATATAATGTTAACTATACTCATTAATAGTACAATTTCCCCCCTTAGTGGATCCCAAAAGGACAAAACTAAGTAAATCACAGTTTTGTAGTATATTGTACAATGAAAAGAGTGATTCTGCGTTAAAAGTCATCACAACAAAAAGACATATGCTACAATAAAATTTCAGTAGGAAAACCTCCCCACTAATTCGGTGGGTCCTCTTTACCACTAATCAGCAACGCCCATTAGATCATGCTGCACAACTGCGTGGCCTAATGGTCAACTTAAGCCTACAAAATGATCATCAATCTTTGCACTATGCTGCACAGCACGTACCCTTTTCTTTGGAAGTTCTAGAAAATGTCAATGTGGTTATTTGGTTCTATATTTTTGGATAGTTATAGTACTAAGATTATATCGTTCTAAAAGAGTACTCTCCTTAAAAAGCAAATTATAGCACTAAAATCACACCGATGTTATTAGCATCCCAAAATCTAAACCATGCGCATCTTGGCATGAGAGGCATATACATTACTCCCAGTGGAGTGTCGGAGTGAGGGACACGTATGCATCCTAGTTCTGCAAGCCCCTCAGAGCTAAGCTAGAAATAGGCCTTTGCGGCTTTGCCATGTTGACACCAATGTGGTGGCGACATATATCACTGGCACACTGCAAGCTATGCATGCCAAAAGCAAAGCTTTGCATCAAAGTCAATCTTTCTAGCCGGTCCTTTTTGTGTACATGTGTCGCTCTCCACCGTGCATGAAATCAAAAACCATTAAATCGGTGTTGAAACTGATAGAAAAAAAAGAGAAGAATCCGATCCCCTTTGTTTCAAACACTCCATTATTTGGATCCACATTGCAAATCATCATTAATTAATTAACAGCCAACCGGGCTTGCACCCACGAAATCCAACAGGACACATTTCTCACTCGCAGAAATTAAAAGGGGTAGAGCGCTGGCTACAATTTTGCCACAGTGGAGTATAAACCAATCTGGAGCAATAATACACAATTTAGTTTTAGTTACTAAGTTACCTAGCTACTAGCTGCTACTAGAATCGAACGCACATGCACACATGACATATGATACGAGTACCCCTCATGCAATTAAGCGCAATACATACATGTTTCTGCTGCGGGGGCTCGGCGAACTTGGATGGATGGATCACAGATCGATCACCACTCGGCGTGCGAGCCGTAGAGGAACGTCGGCGGCGAGAATACGGAGTACCTGTTGTCGATCAGCTGCGGCGGGAAGCTGTCCTCCTCCTCCTCATACCCGTAGCCCGCCGGCGCTGCTGTGGCCGGGACGTTGTGGCTGCAAGCGGCGGCGCCTTCCGATGACTCCGCCGTGCTGCCGGGGCTGGGCGCGGGGCCCATCTGCGGCCCGGCCGGGCTCCCCGCGCTGCTCTCGCCGACGTCGGCGGCGCCGCTGCCGGTGTACTTGGACGGGTCGGCGTTGCGGCCGGTGAGCTCCTGCACGAGCGCGCGGAAGCCCGCCGCGCTGGTCGACACCCGCACCGGGTTGGAGATGTACACCACCTTGATCGGCTTGTCCCCGCCGCCGCCGCCCTTCCGCTTTTGCTTGCCGGAGCCGCTGGCCGCCGAGGCCCGGTGAGCAATGCCCTTGGAACCGCACTGCATCTTCTCCATGACCAAGATCGATCAAGCAAAATATGGGCTGCGGAGGAGGCGACTTCTTCCTGTGGTGGTTGATGTTCACACAGGAGATGAAAGGGAAAGGAGGGAGGAGTGTGCTGATTTGGCCGAGCTCTCGCGCATTTGTAACGGAGGCTGGAGAGTGCAGGACGGCGGGCGGTTCTGGTTTCTACTTTTAGAAGCCATGAAAGGACAGTGGATAGAAGTGGTAGTAAACCAGTGGATTTTATATGAACAGTGTTCTCTGGATGAGAGGTTACTCAAACTCCTCTCCTCACACACGCTGTGAGAAAGGGACGGTATGCAATGTGGGTGGAGAGGCGCCTTGGATAATGCATGGTCAGATGGGGGTGTAATTTGTTACGTCTACCCAGCGATGATGATCAGGAAATCCTCAAATGCACTCATGCCGTTATGTGTCTAAAATATACTCTCTAGGTTGATATATAGACACTAAAATATCTTTAATATGGGACATACAAGAGTAACCCATCATCTTGCTTTGACTACCTTTTACTGAAAAAAAAGTTTATTAAAAAAAATGCAAACTTTGATATTGCAGTTTTTTTTTTACTTTTTATCACCAATCTGTTTGTGCTTATTTTCGACCGATAAGTCAAAGTTTACAAGAAGTTTGACAACACACTTTCTGTTGAGCCATCTATTTTATTACAAAAGAGTTGTAGCTAGCTAGCTACAAGAAGATTGGCTTGTCAATTGTGCTTCTAGTGTGAATTAAGCTTAGCTTAAACAGATAGATTCTTTGTGATGGAATCAACCCGCCCGGTTCCAAGTCCTAGACTTGACACGTGTACTCACATATTTCTCGGTCTCTCGAAGGTGCTCATAGGGTAAGGTGTGTGTGTGTGTGTGTTCATAGGGATGAGTGAGTGTGTGTGTGTGAGAGAGAAGATCCGCGTGTTTTTAAAAATAATTATGCTTCTAGTCTTGATGTGAAATTAAGTTTGTTTGGATGGAATATTTATGGTTCATCATTGCTATATATGCAACTGACTAATGAGTTTCCTTCTACTTCTTTTGTGATACACAAATCTTCGTGTCAATTAGACCTGTTGATAGCATACGCGCTCAGTACCATTTTTTGAGGGGATAGGTGTTTAATTAAGGCTAATGGTCAAATTGCAGACCAACTCTGAGGATGTTGCATTTTTTATTTAGATCCCATATTTTCAAATGTGGTGTGACCCTTTAACTCAGGAGAAAATATGTCACGCATCTTTAAATAGTATCAAATTTGACTCGTGAAAGCTCTTTTCGCATAAAATTATTAAATAAGGTGTGCTTGATCGATTAACTACAAGCATGGTATTTCACAACGAGCGGTATCACATATGGCCCTTTTTAGAACAAGAAAGCGCAAGGAACACACAACTTTAAATTAATAAAACCAATCAGGCAGAGTGCAATACAATCCTCGCCATGAACCAACATTAAAGTCTTACAACACATGCTAGATAAAGATAGTGCATATGGCTTTCAATAGTTTTTGTTTTCTCTTAGATGCTTCTTGGACTTCATTGGGCATAGATTAACATATACTTAAGCAGATGTATGTTTGTCGTTGTGATGTGCAATGACTAAAGACTTGCATGATTGTACCTTCGAAATTTTAGCCGCGGAAAAAAAGAAGAATGGCAACTAGTCCAACCAAGATATAGCAATGTTATGTGTAATTGACTAAGACATTTAGGGTATGTTTGGTTCTTGCCCAAGCTTGTCCCACCAAATATTTGGTTAGCCAGAATTTTGTAGGGTGAACTTTGGTCCCTACTAAAAAAAAATACCCTGATAAGTGAATATTGCGAATATGTCATACGGATATGGAGCTGGGGATTATGGCGACTCTCCTAGAGTTGTTCTAATCACGCGTAGGACAAAGCAATATCGCCATCCGCAGAGGCCCTTTTCCGGGCACATGTGATTTTGTCTCCAAGCACTTGTGTGCACTTGTTAGAGTGAGGCTAGCGAGTGACGAGAAGGGCGAGGGGAATCAGATGCCAGGCGGGACAGGAAACCCAGCAGCAGGCACAGAGGGGTTGGGTTGGGTTGGGGTAATGCGATTGGGAACAAAAGCAGAGATCAATGCGGAGATAATAATCCGTGACGTGCCGCGCTTGCATGGGTCGGATTCCCGTCACCGCGGGGGGCCCCCGCTGACGCCAAAGGCCGAACCAACTGGGGCTGCCACCAGTGCGCCCCGCCCTTTTCTCACCGCCCACCATGCCTTACCCCTCCGTCCGTACAACTATATCGACCTCGCTGACACACGGCCCCGCCCTGTAGGCTGGGGCCGCTGAACGGGACAGGAGCCTGGCGAGTGTTCGGCCGCAAAAGGCAATGCGCTGTGAACTCTTTCGCGATTAAAATATTTTTTGAGAACTGTCCCGCTCAGGAGTGTATACCTGGCGCTGGCAGTTTTACGTGGGCCCACCGTGATGTGGCCGCCCACCGTCGGGGGTGGCTCGAGCCGCGTGATCGGCCAAGAAGGGAACACACGCGGAACCCTTTTCGCGACCTAAATATTCGGGGACAATCGTATACGCACAGTAGCTGACAGTTTAGGCGTATGAGCAAACGGCACTGAGCTGGGTGATATGGAATGTACTCCATCGGACGAGGAAGCAACGTACTGCGCGCTCTACAGTAGCGGACAAAAACAGACATGGCAATGGACAGCCTGAGGATCTGTGCACGAGTCCTTGGTCACAGTCCTCTGGTCCCGGGCTTTAACAACATCTTAGACTAGTCATAAACTCATAGTGAAAAGTAACTTACACTAGTAACATACACATGATCTTAGGCTATATTACTATCTTTATATAACATACTCCCTCCGATTCTTTTTACTTCACGTATTAGATTTGTGTCAAGTCAAATTTTGTAAAGTTTGACCAAATTTTTATATATACAAAAGGTCAGCATCTACAATACCAAATATATAGAGTATAAAACTACATTTCATAAGTCTAACAATGTTGATTTGGTATTGTGAGTGTTGATACTTATTTTGATAAGTTTAGTCAAAGTAGAGATACTTTGACCTCGAACAAACCTTATATACATAATAAAAAGGATAGGAGGGAGCAAGTGTGGTGTCATGCAAAACTTAATTTATTAGGTTATAGACTCATATTGTACTGGGATATGTGATATTACGGTAACTAGCTAAATTACTCAAATTACCTCTCTCATTAACTCATTGTCACATAGGCAAATTTGCTGAGTTGGACTCCATGTTACTGTTGAACTTACTCCCATTATAGCCACTCTTAGAGCATCTTCAGCCGCACCCCCAACAGGCCCCCAGGCCACTTTTTCGGCGCCGACGCCAAAAAACGCCCCAGTCGCGCCCCCAGGACGACGAAAAGCGCCGGTTCGGCCCTATTTTTCGCCCGGCGGCCGCAAGCCGAACCCGGCGCACTGGGGGGGGGGATCGGGGGCTCTGGCGCAAGGGAAAAGCGTGGCTGGCCCACACCGTCCGGCGAAAAGTCAAGATTTTCTTACCCGACCCGCCTTCCACCCCTGCGCCCTCGGCCGCCACTAGCTATATCCCGGCACCGCCCACCGCCATTCACCGCTAGGTAGCCATTCCCCACCGGACAAATAGCAGAGGTTCGCCGCGCCAGCCCCTCCAACAACAGCTGGGCATTTCCGGCCGCCGTTTTCGGCCGCGGAGGGGCAGTTCGGCGGGTGCACGCCCATCGGGCGCAAGGTGTTCGGCGATTTGCCTGCCTCGGCGATGGACTCGGATGATGAGGAAGCGCTCGCCGCGCTGCTGGAGGAGTAAGCCGAGGTCGACGTCCAGGAAGAAGAGCATCTGATGGTGCTCGCCGCCCTCGCCCAGCTACTGGCGAGCAATGAAAAGCCGCGGCGAGGTGGCTCGGCGCCGGGGCGGGTGAAACCAAAAAACCGGCATCGTCTCAAAGGCTACTGCGTGCTCTACTCCGACTACTTTGCCGATGCTCCACTTCACGGCGACAAAACATTTCGGCGCCGTTATCGGATGAGCCGAAAGCTCTTCCTCAGGATTGTGAATTCCATCCGGGAGTTCGACAACTACTTCAAGTGCAAGATGGATTGCACCGACAAACTTGGATTCACCTTGATCCAGAAGTGCATGACAGCGATGAGGATGCTTGCATACGGAGCTCCCGGTGATTCACTGCACAACTATGGGCGCATGCATGGCCGAGTCCACCAGCATGGAGTGTTTCTACAAGTTCTGTCGGGCAGTGATGGCAGTGTTTGGACCGCAATACTTGAGAACACCAAATGCGAAAGACACTGCTCGGATCCTAGCACATAATGCAGCAAGATGATTTTCTGGGATGCTTGGAAGCATCGACTGCATGCATTGGAAATGGAAGAATTGCACATTTGCTTGGCAGGGGATGTACAAAGGCGGCAAAGGCGGTTGCAGTGTGGTACTTGAGGCGGTGGACACACAGGACCTCTGGATTTGGCACTCCTTCTTTGGTATGTCAGGAACTCACAATGACATCAACGTGCTGCAGTGCTCTCCTATCTTTGCCAAGCTTGTTGAAGGTCATTCTCCTCCGGTGAACTTCAAGATCAATGGGCGGCACTACAACAAGGGGTACTATCTAGATGATGGCATCTATCCGAGATGGTCGACATTTGTGAAGACGATCTCAAACCCTGTGCCAGGAGGCAAGAACGCCTATTTTGCGAAGGTTCAGGAGGCTTGCAGGAAGGATGTCGAGCGGGCATTTGGTGTGCTCCAATCTCGATTTGCTGTTGTCCGGTACCCCGCTCAGACCTGGTCGAAAGATCAAATGTGGGAGATTATGACTTGCTGTGTCATCTTGCACAACATGATCATCGAGAGCAAGCAAGAAGACCCATTGTTTGACACTGAACCATACTACAGGCAGGGTCCTCTAGCCGAAGTTGATCACCAGCTACCGGCAACCTGGACTGCCTATCTCAGTATGCGTCAGGAGATCCGAGAC